ATATATATATATATATATATATATATATATATATATATATATATATAAATAAAACGTGTATAAATAGAATGGCATGGCAGATTTGAAATCAATGTTACACGTTTCATCACATCAAATCTCAAGGTACAATTTCTTCATGTATTCAGGGAGAAAAACACAGACACACACAGGTGTCTGAGAAAGGGCCTTTCTCAAAAACAAAGATAAAAAAAGAAGAGGGCCATCGCCAAAAAAAACAAAAATAAACCACGACACACACACACACACACACTCACAAAAACCTGGAGACAATTTACATCTCGTCCCGTAGATCTACCAGGTAGGCATCGTGTCTGGGAACCAGACGCGACCCAAATTCTTTGACACCTTCCAGTGGATATCATCGAGCCCAGAGCGGTGATCTGGAACCAGTACCTCCTCCATGATGGATAGCTGTGTCAGTCTGTCGCCACACAGAAGACGCTCCAGGACACTTCGCACTCTCCCAAACCGATGGCTGCGTGCAGCGCCGGGTGACGCGGATCAGCTCCTCATCCAGCGGCCGTAGCCCGTTGGCACACACCACCAGCTCGATCAGACGCGGGCAGGTGAGCCCAACGCGACCCAGCACGTCTTTACTGACAGAGCGGCCGAAGTACAGATGCGTGACGGGAACTTAATCGCGAAAGAATGGGCCAAATTCACCCTCACAGTGGAAGAAGTAGCTACATGACCAGATTAAATTTAGGAGAGTGGCGCACCATGGCGTCCCAGCTGCTCTTCTTGATGGTGTGGAACTGTTGGCCAGGATTCTTTCCGAACCACGTCGAGGTGAAGGTGCTTCTCGGAGGAGAGAGAACTGAGAAACTCATCACTCAGCAAATGGTATTTGAGCGCTAGTTCTCTCAGGCCGTGGCACTGATTAGCCACACCAAGGATGCCTGGGATAAGAAGAAAAACTAATTAGGAGACTATAGATCTACACAACCTAATTAAGGCTCAGCAATGTCGGCCGACACTGTTCTATCTTCCAAAGCTGTTAGAATTATCTTCCAAGTCATTTTTTGCTCTCTTTGTAAATTGCTGATAAATGTGCTTTTCTATTTATTTTACTTCGACCATTCCTTCTCAAATTTGGCGTCCTGCTGCTGAAAACATTGCTGGTGTTCCAGAGATGTACGAGATGTACGAAAGTCACAACGTCAGCTATAATTGACCTTGATCAGTCAAATTCTTAACGATAATTAGTCAATCATTTATCCTTCACCTCCCTAATAGCCACCATTCCTTCCATTTGTCACCTACATGTGAAAGAAAAGGGCAACTGCTCATTTCCAGCAGTTTGAGGGTGTCACTGTTATTGGCCACCAGGAATTTGAGGGAGGGGTATTTTTCAGGTATGTCATCAATCTTCAGGGAGGACAAGGATTTGGAGTTGACAAAGAGCACTGTCAGCGCTGAGAGGAAGTGAGACTATTGAACAGAGCGAAAGAGAAAAATATTTAGTCATCCCCACATCATAGCTCTAAGTGCTAGTTTTATTTACCAAGACATCAATCAATTTGACATGCAGGCATAGCAACCAACTACCATCTAGTTCAGTTATATATTTGCTTTGCTGCCCTCTGCAGTTTGCAAACATGTCTGCCATCATATCACCCTTGTCTGGATGTGTGTGCATCATTGTGCATGTGCTTGTAAAACACAAGATACAAACACAACAGAAATCCATTCATCACAACGTTCTTCCAAAGCACCATTTGTGATCCACAACTCCACAGGTTACCTTGAGATGTAGATGCATGAATTAAAAAAACAAACCACCTGCCGCACCACTTTGTTTATGATTTATCTTTCAAGATAAAGAGAAGAAAAGAAAATAGGGCAAGTGTGATTTTTGAAAGATGCTTACCAAGACATAAATAAAATCAGAATAAATTTGCAGAACCTATTTTATCAAAAGGCACATTTTCAGCTGCATGTCTTTGTACTTTGGGAGGAATCCAGAGAAAACCCACGCTGACACGTGAAACTGCAAACTCCAAGGGCCGCTCATGCTGTGAGGCAATAGTAACCACAGTGCAGCCATGACAAGAATTGTATTAACATTTATTCTGCACAGCACAGGGTGATGGTGCCTTCCTATTGTACCCTATACCTCCCAGTCACACTTTGGGTTACTCCTATTAGAAAGAAATTAAAGGTCCAACACAGACATCTACACTGCTCTTCTTTTCATCATTTAAACTCATTAAAACTAAACACAATTTCCTTCTCCTGATGAGTGATGGGTACAATGTGTGATACAAACAGGGAGCTGCTCATGAAAAGGACTGCTGTACAGAAGTGATCAATAAGTCTACAGGATACAACATGCAAGGTTGTTTAATTTGTCGTCTTTTTTTCTTCTCTCTCTCTCGCTCTCTCTCGCTCTCTCTCGCTCTCTTTTCCAGGAAACAGAGCCACACGGGACACTGACCAACCGACCAAATGTTGACACAGCCGTGCCATTTATTTTTCATTTCAATGTCTACTCAGTAGTGTTCTCTGTGCTCTTACAGAATATAATGAAACTGAATAATAAGGCTTTAATTATTCCCTTATACCATCATGTGAATGTTTAAATGTAAATATGTTTATATTTGTATTTTTCCCACCACAATGAACCTCTTTGGCTGGTCCAGTGATGTAAAACACAGTCTAAGAGACAGAGCAGTGTAAACATACAGCTGTTTAGAGACGTCACAGAAATGCCCCATGTGCCACTTGTTCAAATATTGTAGCATTACGACACGCAGCAATGGGTTGCTGGTCAGAATCAAATCTGGGTCGTGGCCAAAGAACTCAACCTACAAGCCTTTCATAATTTACTGTTTAAAAGGAAGTTTAGTGGACCTCACTGGGCAGTGATCTGTCTCCATCTCCTCCGACATGCTGCTGTTGCTGCACTGGTTTTGGCTGGTCCTTGTGCTTTATCTGACAAACCCCGGAGAGGTGGAAGCTCAGTTTCCACGTCCCTGTACAACACCAGAGGCTAGAAAAGACCGTACGTGTTGCCCCCTCTTCAATGGCTCTATTTGTGGCTCTAGTTTAGGGAGAGGAGTCTGTGTAAAACTTCCTCAAATACACCCGTCAAGACCAGTGGACTACAGGGTAGGATGGCATCGCTACTTCTTTAATTCAGCTTGTATGTGCTTGGGAAACTATGATGGCTTTGATTGTAGTCAGTGCCTCCCAGGCTTTAGAGGACCCCAGTGTGAGGAACCGCACGTTATAGAGAGGAAAGAGATAACCGATATGACTGATTCTGAGAGGGAGACCTTCTTGTCGAGCCTGCACCAGGCGAAACAGAGCCACAGCAGCCGGTATATGATCCTTAGCAGCAATGACACAACAGTGGAGGGTAACTATGAGTTTCACAACTCAACTGTCTATGATGTGTACGTATGGATGCACGACTACGCAGCTAAGACAATTCCGGTTCAGGACATTCATTCTGCACACCAGGGCCCTGCGTTTGTCTTCTGGCACAGATTGTTTTTACTTTTTATTGAAAGAGAGATCAGGGAGCTCACTGGGAATCAAGATTTCTACATTCCATACTGGGACTGGACCAGAACCGACCACTGCAACATCTGCACCAACAAGTACCTCGGGGCAGTTGGCAAATATGGTCGTATACACAATGCTTCCCTCTTCTCAAACTGGACGGTGAGATATCGTTTTTGTTCCTTTCCTGTGCTTTTTCTTCTTCTGACTTGTATCACGTATTCCTCTTTCTTTTCTCCACAGATCACATGTCTCTTTCGTAGAGATGCTAGTATAATCTGCGACCCCTCTAATGAGAATGATCCTAAGTATCTAATCCGCAACCCTGGAAGAGATACAAGGTACAAAACACTGCCAACCACCAAGGATGTTGAAGACACTCTGGCAATACCAGATTATGACACCCCTCCATATGACAAAACATCTAACAACAGCTTCAGGAACACGCTAGAAGGTATAATTCATATGTTATATTTCTTATTGGTGACTTTTACATCAAATCTCTGACACAACAATTTCAACTACACATAATTTGTGCAAGTTAGAATTCTGTGAGGAAACTCAAAATGCAATACTTTGTCCTCCCAGGTTATAAGAGTCCCGATGATCCCCGGCACTCGAAAACTTCTATGCACAAATTGGCGCACCACTACTTGCTCGGCACCGTGACTCAGGAGTTTACCGCAGCTAATGACCCCTTATCTTTGGTGCTTCACAGCTTTCTTGACAAGTAGGTGTTGCATTTCTTGGTTAAATGCTCAATTAAAGGTAAGTTCACCTTTTTTAAAAGTCTATTTGAAACCAGTACTGACATGCGTGTGTGGGCATTAAAAGGGATATTGGCAGTGGTGGAATTTAGCTAAGTACATTTACTCAAGTACTGTATTTGAGTACAGATTTGAGGTACTTCTACCTACTTGAGTATCTCCATTTTATGCAGCTTTATACTTTTACTACATCTCAGAGACAATGTTGTACTTTTCACTCCACGACACTTTTGATACCCTTCTTGTGCAGTGAAATCCATGTATCTCGAGACTTTGAATGTTTGTGATAAACTGAAGGTTCCTTTATGTTTTGAGAAAATTCTCCTCCTGAAGCTAAAGAACTTCTTGGATCATCTAGAAAATGCATCATCACAAAGCTGAAAACAGGGTTTTTCTGAGCTCATGAAAACTCAGTGGTTGGCCGTCAGGGCCAGCTAAGCCTTCTCTGCTGGCCTAAACAGAATCACAAAGTTATAGCTATTTTATAATTTAATAATATTTCATAAATACACTACATGTATTGTAATTTTATTTCCCATTAGCTTATTTTCTCATTGCACAGCTCCTGTCTTCCTCTGTTGCTCTGCTTCCAGCACAGCTTGTTTTAAGGAGAGCTTTTATCCAATCAGATTCAGCCCCTATGTCTCTGTGTAAGGAGAGAGGCCCGGTGCCCGCTAGAGAGCCTTTGCAGTCTAAGTGAATGGGGACGATATTGTTGATTGTCATAGTCTTCAACCACTCAGATCTTTAGTTTGACATGTTGGGTGTATTCTTTGATGTGCCAGTGGTACCCAGGTAGCCTGCTAAGTACGTCTGCATTAACGTGTGCCGTGATTGGTCAGTGGGCCAGCGTGACTTTTGTCAAACAGAAAGCTAGCTGGCAGATCTTAGTATTTAGTAAGAGTTCAGGTTGAAACATATGTAAGAGAATTTATGACATTTTTAGCGTTTTGCTTGGTGTAGATTTTTTATTTTTTTTACCTAGCTGTTTAAATGGTTTAATACGAATACGTGTATTATTACACCAATAGAAACAAATAACCATAGCTGTGGCTCATAATTAGGTTATTAGGAGATGGCTCAAGTGTAGTAGGACAGCACAGAAGGCCCAAGTATAAAATGCACGGCCCGCCACTGTGAAAAGTTGACTTTTATGAGGTACGTGGTTCTCACAGGACAGCGACTTGTAGAGGAGTATTTTCACATTGTGGTGTTTGTACTTTTACTTAAGTTGAAGATCTAAAAACATCTTCCGGCAGAGTTGATTGACTGCTGTAATTGTTTCTTTATTCCTTAATGGCCACAAAATATCCCACGAAAGAAGTGACGGGGGACAAAATCATTGCTCAGTGTAAAAATGCATTACAAAGTTCTGCTGAAGGTTACATGAGTCTGTGTCAGACAAATTGTGTGGGTATCTTCCAGAGTAAGGTGTCTTAGTATGAATTCCCTCTTCCTTTTTTTTGGGTTTCCACATTGTTCTGTGCTCAACATCACGCTAAGTTTAGTTCAATACTTTCAGTTTTTTTTAATGAGAATGATTAATGAAGGATTGTGACATTACGCTCTGTGTTGTGTGAATTGTTATCAGGATTTTCGAGGATTGGTTTAAGGACCACCCTAATGCTACCTACCCCGACAGTGATGAAGTAACTCCAGCCCAGAGAGCGAAGGCCTTCATGGCCCCCTTCTTCCCTCTACGCACCAACGACTACTTCTGGAACAAGCCCATCCAAGACCTGGGTTACAGTTACAGGGAACACAGCCTCCCTCACTCTGGAGCTGGGAGCAGACCAGCAAGATAAGGAGAAGAGACAGCACAGAGTCCACTCTAAACGTGGAAGAACACCTTTAGATTCAAAGGGATGAAAACAATCTAATTTTCTGAGAAATTTGAGTCAGTGTGCACTTGTTATTGATTTGGACAATGTAATTGTGTATCACGGTATAGTGATATATCATTTATTCACAATATGTTTCCATTGAAAGATGATAAATTACAGTATTCAATCATCGCCCAGCACTAGTATGGGCCACCAACCAAAGACGGATATTTTATATCAGCACAGCTTCAGATTTAGACAGGTGTGGTGTTGTATAATGGAGGGTTGCAATTACGACTTATTTCACTATTAATTAATTCATGAATTTGTTTTATTGATTATTTAGTTAATTGTCCAGAAATTACACTCAGTTGGCAGTTTTATTTAAACTGATGCTCTGAGGGTTGTGATTAATGATGCTACATAATAAAATATAAAAGTTTATTATAAAAAACAGAGCATGTACATTGGATAAATGAATTGTATCTCACTGCTGACAATACAGCTCTTTTCCATGGGAAACATCGAGATGACTGCATTTTCACAAGGCATAAATGAAATCAGAATAAATTAGCAGAACCTATTTTATCAAAACGTACCTTCTCTATCAAACATGACGTGAGAATGGCTAAGAGCACAATGAAAAATTATGGAACAATCAAAGTATTTTTCATTCATAAAGCTTGTACTGCTGTTAATAAATTTGACTAAGAGAACATTAATAGAACCCATTTCATTGTGTGTCCTTGTCATTTCTTAAAGTTTAAGTCTAACGTGTGTGTGGATTTCAGTCTTTCCAACCTACTCTTGTATTCACTTATTCAGACAGTTGCTTGAATATCAAAGATATGTTTTTCAGTTCATCAGCTGTGGTTGATGATGCTCAGTGGGAAATCATTATGATCGTAAGGCCGCACAGATGATTTTAAATCCCATGGTAGAGGAGATCATATTTGGGAATATTTCGAGGATCTATGGGACTCTGGACAATCATCTTCCCACGCATGGCCCCTCGGTATATGACCTCAATCAGATCCTTGAAATCCTGTTTGGTCTTGAAGCTGCCAACAAACTTGGTGTGATCTGGAGAGCTGAGAGAGAAAATAAGGTCAATCAGACTCTTTTGTTATTGCAGTGTGTGCATCTGTTGTAGTTGTGGTAAATGTGCAAAACCAGCTGCTCAGGAGCTCTGGGGTGTGGACTGTTGGATAGAGGGAAATGTGATGGCCGTTTAACACTACAGAAAATGAAACTACAACTTTTTCGATAATAAATGAACTGTTCAGCTGTCTTTTTTTTGTATATAAATTTAATATTTGAGGGTTTTGGACTGTTTATGGGGCAAACCAATACATTTGAAGATGTCAACGGGCTCTGCAAATTGTGATGATCTAACATTTTATATACGATTACTAGATTGAAAAATAATTCATTGATGATGAAATCATCCATTTCAGCTCGATTGCTAAACTAAACGAGGAGACTCGTACGTATAACATTGTACGCAAACATACACCAGACAACGTTCAGCACCGGTAACCTCCGGTCACTCACCCATAATCCACTTTCATGTGTTGTCCGTTGAAAAAGAAAACAGTGGAGGGGATGTAACTGATGTCGAAGTATCTTGTGTAGATGGGAGCTTTATCCACATCAACGATGTAGATGGACGCCATGTTGCTCAAGTCATGGGCAGTTTTTGACAGCTAGGGTAGACAGAAATGGACACATTTGAAAAGCCAAACAGTCGTGTGGCACTATCATTGAGCAGCCGTTTGATTGTTTGCATTCATGATCCTACTTACAATCTCATCGAGCTGGAGACAAACAGAGTCTTCGTCTCTCCCAAACCGCAAAACCACGACTTTTTCTGCTACGCTTTTGATGACTTCATCTATGTCTTTTTTGCACGCTAATTTTGGCAAAAACAAACTCATTTTCGAGGCTACAAAAGTTAGCTTCCCTTGTTGTGCTAACAGGCGGAAGCTACGTCATAAATGCTGTACCACGCTGTGGAAAATAATCCGTCTGGAAACAATATGAAATTATCAGTCGTGTAAAAATGGTTGTTGTAATTTATATCGACCTGTCACAAAGAATTACAGTAGCAGTAGTGAGTAGAAATATATTTGTGTTGACCAAAATCTCGTGTCATCGTCAGCCAACGTTAAATAAACATGTAGAACCAGACAATCTGTAGCATGCAACGTAGTGGCGTTTCACTACGACACTTTATAGTGTGACACCGTTTGAACAACGTGACCTTCTCTTACATTTTTGTACAAGCATGGACGTCGCGACAAGTGGAAGAAGCAATATCTAAGACACAAGATGCAGATGTTACAATTCCATGACGGTGGGAAACGGAGAGAACCGCTTTGATGACACTTTTTGTTCCGTTTAAATTCATAAAGACAAAGTGACAGTCCACCAGTGACTGTCTGTATTTCCTCTTTGTAGTACTTCAGTACTTTCACTGCAGTTTAATATATTTTATCGCGATGTTACGGCTCTTTACGAACCAGGGTTTTTATGAACTCTGGAGAGGCGGTCTCTTTTTGGCATCCCTTGTTACCAAGAGGCAAGTCGGAGCTTCTCTCGTAGTCAGCAGCACCGGTCGTCACCGGCCACACATTTCTGCTGGTCTCTTCAGTACTGGCATCCCAGTGTGGAAAGATGCCCTCCAGCCCAAAACAGACAACCCCAAGGAAGTACAGACACTAGATCTGGACAAATGGAAATCTGTAATGAGAGCCCAAGCGGCAATAGAAGAGAGACGGCAAAGCGATGAGGATGAGGAAGCAAGTGATGAGGATGAAAACCTCAAAGAATCAGGTGGTGATGTAAAGGGCGGTTCTTCACTGGAGGCCACTCGCGATCTGGTTGCAATGTGGCAGCAAGCTGGGAAGCTTGTACCTCAAGAGATGACCGACGACGAGGTTCAGACGCTGGCAGAGCTCACCACCAAGTCCTCCAGGAAGAAGTACCTGAAGTACCTGGCCATCAAGGAGGGCCACAAACGGGCCCGTAAGGAGAAGCAGCAGCAGAGGAAGACGGAGAAGGAAGCCTCAATGGAGCAGAGAAGAGGACTGGACAGCGACGCAGAGGAAGAGAGAGGACCTGAACTTAGAAGCACGTTGATCCTCCAGTTCTGGGGGCGCTCCCTGGACAAGCACCTGGCCTGGAGGAGCGCCCAGGCTATGATGTTCGGTCAGCCACTGGTGTTTGACATGAGCTATGATTCAAACATGGCCAGGCGGGAGTTGGAGAACACAGTGTCCCAGCTGATGGAGGTGGAAGGGTGGAATCGGCGCGCCACTGAGCCTTACCACCTCCACTTCTGCAACCTGCAGGCGGACGGAGCCTACAAGAAGGAGCTGGTCAAACGATATGGCGCAGAGGCCTGGGACCGCCTGTTGGTCACCAGCACTGACCGACAGCACGTGGATCGGTTCCCCCGGGAGCGGCTCGTGTACCTCACTGCAGACTCCCCCAACGTTCTCCGCACGTACGACCACTCCAAGGTCTACATCATTGGAGCTCTGGTGGACCGGTCGATCCAGTCAGGCCTGTCGTTGGCCAATGCCAAGCGTCTGAATCTGGCCACGGCCCGTTTACCGCTGGATGAGTTCCTCCACTGGGAGATGGGAGCCAAAAATCTGACTCTGGACCAGATGATCCGCATCATGCTCACGCTCAAGGAGACGGGGAAATGGGAGGAGGCGCTGAAGTTCGTGCCTAAGAGGAAGTATGACAGCTTCCACCAACAGCAGACACCGAGAGAGATCGGCAACAACAGAGGCAGGGGAGTCACAAATCACGGACCAGGACGGGATGGTGACAGGCCGCTTAGATCTGGAGAAAGAAACAGTGAGAGGACATTTAAAAATGAGGGCCAGAGTCTTCCCAGAGCCCCTAAAGAGTCTGGGTTCAGTGGTAGAGGCAAAATGGCTGGACTGCCCGGTGACAGAGAAAACAAACCAGCTGCAACCAGAGTACGGACATCATTTAAGAGCAACATAGAGGGAAGAAAAGGTGCAGGCAAAGGCAATATGTGGTGGGATAATGAGTAGAGTCAACACAAATTGTAACATGGGATAATAAGGACATGTCTGTTTACAAGTGGTGTCTGAGGAAAATGTCAAAACCTGAGACAAGCGGTGATTAAAGTGTTGTCATACGGTAGTCACTGGTGCTTACCGACTGCTTTATTTTGAGGTCCAATGCAGGGTTACAAACAAGAAAAGAACAAGACATCTTAAAAAAGGTAGAAACTCTTTTGGTCTTTATTTTGGTCTGACATGGAAAACAAAAGGTGTATAAATATTTTTATGGTGCATTTTCACTGTAAATTACGCCGTCATCAATTCACACTTTTCCATACAGATGAAATAAACCGAAACATTTATGCAGCTTGGTTTTAAACAAAAAAGTATTGAAAACAACTTTTGAAATAGAAATTACAAAAAAAAAAAACACCCAAAATGAATGACATGATTTAATGAAAACGAATCAAATGTTATTGGAATTTGTATTTTCAAAAAAATGCGTCACCACAAAAATTAAACTCTTTGCAAGTAACTGGATGTTTGTGTACACTATAAGTATTGTAGTACCGAGAAACCACTTCCAAGATATTGAACGTACGCTTTCGCAGCATGCGTTAGACAAAATATACCAATAAATGTTTTTTATAAATATGATAGCACCATCATACTGAGAAATCTGGGCGACAGCTGCAGTACAACAGCGTCGTGACTGTTCAATTACCTTATCAGTTTGTTAACTTCTTGGAGGGACGGGCTGCCCCCTAGTCTAATGTTCAAGTATGAATAAGCAGACAGCATAACTGTCTGTCCACCATGTAATACTGACTCAGTATTTTGACCTCACATCCCAGCAATAAATAACCCTTTCCATAGTTTAAACCAGGCTGCAACGGCTCTGAAATGCATTCTGTTTCCATCACTTTCACATCACCATCCCTGAACAAACAACTCCATTTTCTTATTAGCTTTTTTTTTTTTTTCAAGTTAAAGAGCAAAATAAACAGCAGGTTGATTCAATTTAAAAACATCTGAAATTGTGAAAATCCAACAATCAACTCTTAGGACTCTTACGGATACAAAAGATGTCTGCTGGAGCAGCTAACTTTTGGTGCCGACCGAAGAAGTCACGTAACACACAACAGCAATGATCTCCAGAGTCATTTGAATTAACCTCCGATGCCGCACCAGTGTCAGATTGGTGCGTTTCGCTGCCCTTTGACCCCCTACAGCACCAGGATGTCTCCAGTGCAGCGCTCGCAGCAGTTAAAAGTAATGTTTTCGTAGCGGGTATATGGGTGAAACCTGCCGATGCTCTTCTTACTGCCGAGAAAGCTTGAGGGGGCGGAGTCACTGAGCGGAGGGTCTGCCTTGTTTTCCGAACAGGAAATCGGATCTAAAATCTTCAGCACCTAGGACACAACACAGATAAAAACATTTGTGAAGCTCTGGATTTTATGACAAATGTTCAAAAATGGTCAGATTTCCACAAAGGGTATGGAGCACGTACCTTCTCGGCCATCTTCTCAGCCGGAGTGCTGCAGAGCAGCTCAGGCGTTGCAGTGCTGCTCTTCACCACGCTGCTGCTGGTGGTGTTTCCCAACAGGTGGGAGTTGATGGCGTCTGCTAGCTTGTGATTGGCTGCTGCCAGCTCTCCTGTGCTAAGGGGCTGTGCACTGGGGTAGTACGTCTTCTGTCTGCCCCACTGCAGAGAAACCAGGAGCTGCTCCAGAGATCTGACGACAGAAAAAAATAAACATACAAACTTAAGTATCAGTAGCTCAGCTGTGAGCCTTGAACCATATGTGCTCAAGCTTCTTTATGTTTGACTCAGCTAAGATATAAAGTTCACACAGCTATCTCTATAGCTCATTTATGGTAATGCAGTGGGATAAGTTCTCGCAGCAGGATCTGCGCAGATTCTTGGAAAGCTCCTCCAAAAAGCCGACACTTTTTCTATTGATTTGCTCTAAATGGTCAATTCCTTAATGCAGGCGTCTCTAAGTGAACTAGAATGTTGTTAAGGGTCTACGTCTCGTCATATCTAATATTAAATGCAACTTTGTGGAATTTTTCGAATAACTTATTTTTTAATTCAGTAAAACGAAATAATTTCATGCGACAAATGTTTCAAAATAAAAGTATATCTTACATTGATAAAAAAATTAAAAAACCTACCCATGTACTGTCTGCAATCGTGTGAATGCAAATGAATACTAAGGAGCTGATAGAATAAGAATGACTGAAATCCTGAATGTTTACTTTACGAAGCTTAACAAGTGATAAGAGGCGCAAATATATTTCATTCCACATTAACATCAAATTGTTGGTCAAGTGTTCTTACTACAAAGCTGTGCCAGTGTGAGTCTATTTGTTTGAGCAAGTAGAGCTACGTCTTGTATGTATTTTACACATTTTTTTTTTTTTAAACAAATACACCATACAGTGGGCATCAAGAGGAAAATGCTTACTTTCTTAAAATATAACAAAAGGCAATGCCATTAAGTGGAGCAACAGCTTTCTTATTTATCTGGGGCAGCATTTCCCTGCAGTTCGTCCTGGCATGTTGAACTTAACAGAGTTTGTGTCTTCATCGGGATTTTTAAATTGCAAGCTAGTATAATGAATCATTCCCTTAATTTAGTAATTATGAATACACTGTATGTTACCTGTGAGTGAGCACCATGTGACTGGAGAACTCTTCTCTCTCCAACAGCAGGTCTTGAATTGCTCCCTGTGCCTCTCTGGTCTGTCTCTGCAGAGCAGCTCTGGCATTCGTCAACTCCTCTGCCATGACTCTGGATAGTCAACATTGATGCAAGTGTTTATTCAGCATGACAATGTTAAATGTCACTTCTTATTGTTCATAGAAGAATAATCATATTATTAATAATTGTAATTTAATCTTATTTTTGTTTGTCCTCCTCATACAATGTTAAAATGTCCCTGACATATGCTTGCAGGCTGATAGGAACATTTTCTTATTTGTCATTTTTTTAATTTCATTTACTATATTTCAAACCTGCTGGCCAGGAACTTGCTCCTCCAGACGTCACACTGGATACTCCTTCGCTCCAGCTGCTCCGCAGTGTGTGCCAGACTCCGGCCAAGAGCCTCGTTCTCCAGAATCAGATGGTTCTTCTCCCGCGACAGACGCTCAAAGTGGTACTGAAGGTCATCACCCACCGACGCCACCAGCAGCTTCTTTAGCTCGCGGTTTACCTGGCAACACGGAAATAAACACCCAATTCTTTTCACAGCTGAAGAAATAATGTTTTCCTTTATATTCACTTGAAAGCACTTCATCGCTGAAGTCCACCATAAGAGAAATAAGGAGCATGATTATATCGTATTAACTATACGGAACTATGAACTCAAGACATTTTACATGAAACATTGAAATTCATTTCTTACCTCCGTCTGCACACGGAGCTGATTGGAAAGGCCTTCCTTATCCTGCAGCAGCCTGCGCTCAGAGTTCTCCAGCTTCTCCAGCTGTCCTCTCCAGTCCTCCACCAGAGGCAGCGGGGGAGAGCCCTGCCCCTCAGCCTGCTGCCCGGCCTCCCCTTTGCCCTCAGCGGGCCCTGTACGGGTGCGCCGGCTAATAGCGGAGCGGGGGATGATGATCCTCACAGCTTCCACCTCCGTGCAGGCCTCTCGACTCAACTTGCCCAGGTAGAGCACCCCGGGAGGCTGGGGAGCAGGCCGCATAGATTTGGGGCTACGTTTAGGGCTAGCCACCTTCAGGAGGGGAACTGTAGACGGACCCGGTGGCGGCGCATCTGTATTGACCTCCAGAATGGCACTGGGTGGTTTTTCAGTTTCCATGCCATCGCCAGCTCCTCGGACAGGCACACGGGCAGAGCCTGGGCGAAATAAACAAAGCCAAGTTTACACTTTGCACTGAAAAAAAACGTGTCCTGACTGAGACAATAACAAAGAGGATTGCTCTTAATGCAGGTGTGAATATTCCCATAAACGCCCTGTTGTATTGCACATGCAACAGTTAATTGGCCAATGGCAAACAAAGACTCCAAGGTGTCAAATAGACACCACGGTGTAGCCACTAACCCTCTCTAGCAGCATGTAGCGCTGGGTATTGAACCTCAATACATTTTAGGGTACTTAACTAAATGTGTCTGTTGTGTCAAGTACTAGAAGGTTACACCATAATTTCCAGAACATCGTCTTTTATTGTGCAAGCTGGATGAGCAGAAACTAGTTCCAACAAAACAAACCAATCCTCAACGTTACCTCTCACATCAGCAGTCATGGTGGAGGTGGTGTTAGCCGAGAAGGAAGTCTGTAGTTCAGGTGAAACCCAGGTGACTCGTCGTCATCTATGGCAGTTGACAGAAGAGAGAGTGATTTGTTGTTAAAATCTGTAGAGCAAAGAGGGCCGCTGGTCAAAGGTCACGCTGAACAGCTGAGGTACTGATAACGGTAGCTAATTTAGCGCGTAAGCTAACTTGTTAGCTTAGCTGTTAGCCGACCAGCTTTAACGGGAATTTAACAATCCAAAGTTGAAGTAACGCTATCGTGATAGCTGCTTGCTACACAGAACGACACGTCCCAGTAGTAAGATCTGGGATCGGATTTGGGGATTCAGACAGATTGTTAGATAACATACCGGGTAACAATGGATTGAACCTCCTCGATTAATTCGTGTAAGCAGCAGCAAGCTGTTTATTTTGACACCGGACACAGTTGGCCTTTGAGGAGGAGGTAGTGATTTTCACCCTGGGTTTGGTGTTTCAGGCAACACTTCCGGTCAAGGAACGCCTCCTCGTTTGCAAACTAAAGCTCGTTTGCAAACTAAAACTAAAGCCGGATCATTACCCAAAGTCGTTGGTTCAACATTCACCCCGACAGTCTATAATATGGACATTTGGTTGAAGCGACAGCAGCGTCAGACAAGAAAACCTGACAGACTAAATCCAGGAAATTAAATTGAATAAATAAGCTGTCCGTCCTGTCCACTCAACACAAAACTGATCTCCAATCCGTCGCTGTGTTGCTTTACATGACTTCGTATCATTGATATATACAGCAACTAACTGTGAAACCGATTGAAGATCAGGTAAAGGGATGCTGCCCGAAGCTGGTGGTGTAACAGCTAAATATGTCCCGAAGTAAATAATGCGGAACCTTCATGCGTCGTCAATTAATGCTCTACGGACAAAAAATAGCGTTACAACAAACGGTGAAAAGTGTCGCTACAGTGCACTTTCTTCTTTAATCACCTCAGTAATTTCGGCGTTCATTCAATAAAAACGCTCGGATTAGTCATGCACAGGTAACTTGTCGTGTTTCAGTTTTTGATTCTCACATTATTATTTCGGAGGCGTTTTGGACAATAGTTATCATGGGAGTGCATGGACTCTGGAGGCTGCTGGAGAGTACAGGGAAACCCATCAACCCCGAGACTCTGGAGGGAAAGATCCTGGCCGTTGGTATCCTCTTGACTTGATTGTGATCTTTCTATATGTCTGTCATTGTTTGAGCAGGGTTCCATCACTGTATACCTTCACGTCTCTCTCTCTCATATGTATTGATGACTGTATTAACTGATTGTGTTAAGCCATAGCGTTAACCTTAGCCGGACACCTCCAGACATCAGCATATGGCTGAACCAGGCAGTGAAGGGTGTGAGGGACCGCGACGGCAACAGTGTCCAGAACGCCCACCTCCTCACCCTCTTCCACCGCCTCTGTAAGCTGCTCTTCTTCCGCATCAGGCCGATCTTCGTGTTTGATGGGGACGCACCGCTGCTGAAGAAACAGACTCTGGTACGTCCAACGAAAAAATGTCTTGTGTCGATCGTTTTTGGATATTTTTCTTCCAAAATGCACGCGATTCCCACGTATTCTGTCATTTGATCATACGCGGCTGTGGCTCTCCTGCAGGCTGTGAGGAGGCAGAGGAAAGAGGAGTTGACCCGGGAGTCCAAACAGACCAATGAGAAGCTTCTGAAGACATTCCTGAAGAGACAGGCTATCAAAGCTGCACTTGGGGACCGCAGGTCAGGGACAAGGGCAGTGTGCAAGTGGATGGATGGCCAAGAAATAAATGCCATGTTTCTCCTCTCTTTCTCTCCCTACACAATGAACTGTCTATTATCTTAGTAGAGACATTTCAATCTCCTTTGTCTGAAGTATTTATTGTTTCCCCTGTCACAGTAAGGATCCTCTACCCAGCCTCTCCACTGTGAGGAGAGATGAGGTTGACGACATTTATGTTCTACCAGCCCTGCCAGCTGCAGAGGAGAAGGACAAAAGCAGGTGTGGGACGGTTACTACTCGCTTGTCATTGTTGTAATTCAGTCGGAATATCTGTGCATGAAGAAGCACTCTGCAAAATGTTTTTTTTATACAGTTGTTTTGCCGATAATACTGGTACTTTAATCATTTTAATGTGTTTTATTTATTCAGTTCAGAGGAGGAGGAAGAGAAAGAGTTGGAGGAGACGGATGATGGTTATCACATGTATCAGGTAAAGTTATCACGTGCACGGGAGAGTAACATTGAATAGCACCACCACCAAAGATATAGCTTCAAATAGTTTATTAGAGCGATTATTGATGGTATTTTGGTTTTTAATAATGTTTAAATATTGCTCGGTTAATGTTGGATCCGGGTCTCGTCCTAGCTTTAGTACAATAAAGGTTTTTTGCTGAGTGAAGGCCTCTCTTTGGCCATCACATTGTCTCGATTGTTTCATAAAATGTGTCAGTACCTTCAGAAAGTATTTGGAGTCACATCCAAAAAATCCTCTCATTATTCCCATGTTCTTATGTTGGTCGGCTGCTCACTGTGTCTCAGGGAGAATTGTATGAAGACCCCAACTCAGTGGACATCAACTCAGAGGAGTTTGCCAGCCTGCCTCCTGAAATGAAACATGAGATACTCAAAGACATGAAAGAGTTTTCCAAAAGACGCCGGACCATGTACCACAAACCCCCAGAGGTACTGTTCATTCACACACACACACACACACACATGCACATACTCATCTCCTGCTCTTCAACACAGACTCCTCTTCACTTCCTCTTAGCGTTCAGGAGACTTCTCACAGTACCAGTTGGCCGGCCTGCTGCAGAGGAACCAGCTGAACCAGCGTCTGCATGGTGTGGAGAAAGAGATGAGCCAGCGGAGCGCCGGCAGCGCGCCACAGCTCTGCCAACAGGACGGGGACGAGCAGACTCGCAGCGTAGAGACACACCGGCTGGTCTCAGAGGACTATTCCCACTATATCCTTATTAAAGGTGAGGGAGGCTATGATGGTGTGTTTACTCAGCCAAAGGACAGGTTTTCAGTTTTTTTTTACAGGAAAAGTCTAAACTATCAGTTGTCCTGATTCTTGAACGCATCATCAAAAAGGAAGCGTTTCCAAAATAGTTACTGCTCATAACTGCATTATTACACAGTGCCACTTTGATATTTAGTAAAGCACACTAATTCAGTGTGATAGGTTACTCATCTCAACCGTATTTGGTGCCATATTTAAATCTATGGTTATCTTCATTGATAAGAGACTGTATCCTTTGTCATATTGGAAACACCACTCTGCTTTTCCTACGCAGGCTCCAAAAAGAGCGAGGCTGCCCCCGAGAGCCGACCGGCAGCGGCAGCCTGGTCCGGGATCTCCTTTGCAGGCGGCACCAGACGAGCACCAGACAGACCTGAGCCCCTGTGGCGTCCTGCTTGTGAGGAAAAGGCAGAAGTGGCGGGTCCCTCCTCAGAAGACTCCAAACCTTCTGTGTCAAAACCGAATCAGGGAGACACTTCACCACCCTCGCCTCGTACACTCAATGCGATCCGGGCTGCGATGAACGACAGCTCAGAGGAGGAGACGGTGGACCAGGAAAAGAAGGATGGTAGCGCGTCTCCTCGTACCCTGCTGGCAATCCAACGAGCTCTAGCCGAGGAAGACGACGACGACGACGATGACGGCGCTGCTGAACACAGGACTCTAATCAGCAGCTCACCCACCAAAATACGGGCCAATATTCCCCGTCCTGTGCCACAAGTGGTCGTCAGCAGCTCGGAGGAAGAGGGAGAACCTGATGGTGTGAACTCTATGCCTCATGAAAAATCAGATTTTAAGGGGAACCAAAGTTTACACGTGAAAGATGTTTTGTTCGCTGGGAGTTCTGAAGGTGAGACGGAGGCCATGATTGGTCAGAGAAATGAAGCTCTTCGCTTTGCGGCGCTGCAGAAACCTCACGAGAGAGAGATGGAGTCAGAAAAGGAGACAAAGAGAAGACAGTTGACAGAGGACGTAAGGCTGGGAAGTAGAGGACAGATGGAGAAAGAAGAAGAGCTGATCACAGAGTTAGGTGCAGCTGCTTTCAATCAAAACACATTACCCACCAATCTCTCTGCTCAGCTATGTGGGAAACCTCCCAGTGAAGAGACTAAAATGCATCCTGCGCCATTAAAGCAGAGGAGTAACGAGGTGATTGAAGCTCTGGAGGAGAGGACCGGAGAAGATATGAAGTCGGAGGGCAGCGAGGAGAGCGAGTCAGAAGGTACAGTAATAGTCGGGTGAAAGATCACACTCATTCATAACTTCTTAAACCTGCTGACAATAACAAAAAGTGCTTCTTTTATGTTTTCCCAGAGAGCTTCGTCGAGGTGTCGGACAAAGAATTTAAAGAGGAGAGTGCAGAGGATACACTTGTGATGGTTGGAAAGAAAGGATCTCCAGGTGAGGGCCGTAAAGATGAGACCAAGCAGGAAGAAAAACCAGAGGAAGGCTTGAAAAAGCTTCCCGGCAGTCCAGCTGCTGATTCTTTAGAGGAGGAAGAAGAAGAAGACAAAAAGAGACAGACTGAGGAGACAGAGTTAAAGGATGGAATAGAGACGGAGTTCAGCACAACTCCAGCAATAAATGAATGGGAACACTTGGACATGGTGAGCATTCCTGTCAGGATGGTTTAGACAAACAAGATTTTAACTTCAATGCTAATAACTGTTTTTAATTTATTAGATTTATTAAGAATGTAGCCTCAGGAGTTAAATGATCCATCTAACCTTTCACTTCACACTGCATCGCGCTGCAGCACGGCTAAGCAGAAATGCAGATGTTTTTTAAATGATGCGCTTTAGGCTGAGCTGTGTAGCAGTTTAATGTGTATAAGGCAGGGCTGATGCATTGTGTGTGTGTGTGTGTGTGTGTGTGTGTGTGTGTGTGTGTGTGTGTGTGTGTGTGTGTGTTGTGCCGCAGGATGAGCTGGAGGCTCTGGAGAGCTCTCTGCAGGTGGAGCAGAGCAGCCTGACGGAGCTGAAACAGCAGCAGGAGAGGATGGCGAACACCGTCACTGGGCAGATGCACCTGGAGAGCCAGGTGAACCGAAGACACAGTAAAATCACACACGGACACATTCAAAACCACACAGGCACTCCACCCGCACACCTAACCTTAAGAAATGTACGAGCCTCTATCGAAAAATCACTACTGTAAATCGTAAAAAATAAATATAATGCAAAATATAAATACACATGCATGAGATGAGACAACTTGGAGAAGACGCAAAGCCGGCCCGGAGGATTCATCTGCAGTCAGGATAACTTCCTAATCTTTGCTGTATGTTTATGTGTCTGTCAATTTAGGAGATTGGTGTCGTGTTTGTTTTGGGGGATTGGGGGGGGTGGGGTTTGAGAGTAATGACTATTTCCCTCTTTGATCCCAGGAGCTGCTGCGACTGTTTGGTGTGCCGTTCCTGGTGGCGCCGATGGAGGCCGAGGCTCAGTGTGCAGCACTCGACCGCACCGACCACACACACGGGACCATCACGGACGACTCCGACGTGTGGCTGTTTGGAGGGAGACACGTCTACAGGAACTTCTTCAGCCAGAACAAATATGTTGAACACTACCAGTACAGTGACCTGCAGAACCAGCTGGGTCGGTGCTTCCTGTCATGTGTCCTTATCAAGTATTAAGACGTGTTTCATGATTCATCTCCTCTTGTCCGTTTTGTTTTTATTTGATTGTTGAATTGGTATTAGTTTCAATGTTTGAGTCTAAGAGATCACATGAGAGAGTAAATGCCCTCTCCATGTTGATTGAAGATGCAAAATACACAAACTAAATATATATATATTTTAGTCAGAAACTCATCAAACCTTGAGATGCATTATGCAAATTCATTAGGTTCAACTTTCAGTCAAAGCAGGTCACGCCTTAATATCCTGTTTAATGTAAAAACAAAACAAACCACAGACAAATATGACATTGGATTATTTTAATAATATAATATATACTGTAATATATCTTTTTATGACTTTTATGTGCAACAACAGATGGTGCTATTGTGCTGTTTAGTGGCCTGCTGAGATGAAAGGGCAAGGTGTTGAAATTGTGCTTGGATAACAAATGGCTGCGCTAATCCGCTGAGCTTATATTGCATTTATCAGAGACAGGTGCTTGTGTTGTGATGGACTGTCAGCACAAGCTTTTACTTCTCTTCCCCCATCTTCTTGTCCTTTTTTTATTCTCTGTCTCCAATCCAACCTCTGTCTGTGTCTCAGGTCTGGACAGGACTAAACTGATAAACCTGGCTTACCTGCTGGGAAGTGACTACACAGAAGGCGTGCCGGGGGTTGGATACGTGACCGGCATGGAGATACTGAATGAGTTCCCCGGGTCAGGCCTGGAGCCACTCACACAGTTCAGGTGTGTGTTTCAGGGTTTGAGTTAACCGGTCCAGGTTATTCAAAAGTTAGTGGATTTTTCTTAAAGTAGGTGTTAATAACGGTTCTTGGTCATATATTTCTTTCCCTCTTTTTCACAAATTTGAATCTTTCACACTTAATTCCTCTAGTCTCTCTCTATTGTGACTGTCAAAAACAGGCAAAATGAACTCATTGTTAAAGCCAATTTATTAATCATTTACTCTCCATTTAAAGTTTTATATAAGTGTTTATATCTGCCTGTGTGTTTTAACTGAACTAGATAAATAATGATAATAATAATTAGGTTGATTTGCCTGGTTATTGTTTGTTTCCTCTAGTGAATGGTGGTCAGAGGTTCAAGATAAAAAGCGGCTGGTGGCTGATCCTCGGGATACGAAGGTTAAGAAAAAATTAAGAGACGTGAAACTGTATCCTGGGTTCCCCAACCCTGCAGTTGCTCAGGCTTACCTGCAACCTGCCGTGGACCAGTCGGACAACTTCTTCAGCTGGGGACGCCCACAACTCGACATGATCAAAGAATATCCTTTCTATGTATTTGTGTGTGTGTGTGTGTGTGTGTGTGTGTGTGTGTGTGTGTGTGTGT